AACCTCCTTTCAGCCACATCAACCTGAGACTGGTGCTGAGAGGGCCCTTGCCAGCTGTTTGAACTGCTAATGAAGACAGGGTGCTGGGTGTCCATGAAGAAGGGGCGCAGGTCGGGGCAGGGTGGGCACACTGCATGCTGACCCCAGAGCTCAGGAAGGGTGAAGTGCATGGATCAGACTCTCAGGGAAGCTCTGGCTGGGTTCCACTGGGAGGCTTGACTGCCTTGGACTGATTTGCTGCCGCTGGCACTGCTTAGGGTTGGGAGTGTCCCTAGCCCTTCAAGCTGTGCCCCATGTGAATTAGTCTTTAGGAGACCTCCTCCTATCCTCAGAATAGATAATGGGGGACCCCAGACAGCAGTAACTCATGTGGTGACACTGCTTTCTAGGGAGGTGAGGCCCACTATAGCTTCTCCTGCCCTGCAAGTGGGAGAAGTCTCTACCATAGATTTACAGCCTCTGCAAGTAGGCTCTGCTCACCCACTGCAGCAGGGGTTGCCAGGAGCTGCTTTGGCTCCTGAAAACAGAGCCACAGGGCCCCCACCTTCAGAGGTGTGTGAGACCTCTGCCCCACCTCCACTGGTGACTGCAGCCTCAGTAAACCACCCCCAATGGGTGGAGGGTGGCTTTGTGGTGCCTCCATACCCATAAGTGGAAGGGGCCTTGGGGGCTTCCAGGGTTCCTGAAACTGGAGCCCTGGGACCTTCGCAGGTGGGTGGAACCAGAGTCAGGGTACTGCCATTATAGGTAAAATACATGAGCCACATGAGTGCCTCACCTGGAGGACATAGCATGCATGGGCATTGCCATCTTGGACCTGGATAAGGCTTCTCTTTAGATTAGAGGCTGCATGCTACTGCTGTGTGGGCACTGCAGCAGTCAGGTTCTCTGTGTAACTGGTTGTAATAGTAATGGCTCTGGTTTTGAAGGTCATGAACTGAGGTCCAAGAGTGACCACCTGATTTATAGGGTATTTACAACGTCTAAGCTTCAGAAAGGTGCAAAATGTCCCTGCAAATCTAGGGACTTTTAGTAGAATATACCTAAAGTGTTAGGGACTTTTAGCTGCCACATACTGAGTTTAAATACTGAGTTTAAGTATAGTCCTTCCCAGTGTGGGAAAGGAACCAAGATTAAAAGAAAATGATGATTAAATATAGATGAGTAGAAATATGTATAAAGGATATGAAAGTTTTAAACCTAGAGTAAAGGAAACCTCAACTACTTGTTTTCTAGTTTTGTGGGAAAAAGACAAATTTCTCTGCCATTGGTTTTTTCTGATCAGAAACCCTGTGTACCTGAAGACCTAGAAAAGATCACTATAGCTGGTTGGAGAGGATGCCTTTGCCACCTGGGACCCAGGAAGGGTCATTAGGGGCTGATAAGTATTTTGGCCTGAGGCAAAAAAGCATGTCTCTACCAGGCACCAGTGGACGCACTGGTGCAAGAGAATGCCTCTACCTGTGTATTGTTTCAGAACTCTGTGTTTTGGGTTTTGCTCTATATCTACTCTGACAAAGAAAATGGAAGATTCCAGAAAAGTTTAAAACTTCATACTCTGTAAGAAAATAAACAATAGAAAGTATAAGATTTATAAATAAAGAAGGATATGAAAAGATGTAAAAGTTTTTTGGATATTGCTGAAGGTCTGTGGAAAGCTGTGCAGATAGAAGAGGGTATGTAAAAGGTTATAAAAGTTTGCAAAAGTTTTGGAGAGAAATTATGTGGAGTTAGTAATAGAAGTTATAAGGCATGGAGATGCAATCTTAGTAGGTATCAGAAGGAAAAGGATTTTCCAACACGCTTTGTATTTTTCTCCCTACCTGATCCCTCCAGAATTTGAATTCTGAAGGAATAATGATAATGTAAGGTTTCTTTGAATAATAACTGGTCTCCGTGAGACCAGTTATTAATAGTAGTTTTGTTAACCAAGACTTTGACTGGAATGTCGTGCCTGAAGAGGCATATATGGGTTCTGGTCATTACCAGAGAGCTCACAGGAACTGGGATTGACCTGTGAAGCTAGTGAAAGCCCACGAGAAAAGCCTGGTACTTTGGTTGGTTGTGTGGTTCCAGCCAGCCTTCCCAGGGAAGGAACGAAGGTTGCTTTCCTGAAAGATGGCTAAAAAGGAACCTGTAGGCACAATAGAGGCTCATGGGTTTGAGTGAAATGACTGGTACAGGCAAAGCCAGATGGCAGATGTGTGGTTCTGCTTCTGTGCCCTGAGGGGCAGACTAAGAAGTCAATCTAAGAGTTCCCTGTGTGAGTTCCAGCAAAACAGACTTAAGGATCAAAAGTGATCCAGGCTGCTCTTGGTGTGTTTATGCAAATGAACAGCCAAAATCAAAAGCAGGACCCGAAGTAGTCCCTGTAATAACAGTGAGGGTGATCTCAAGGAGAAAAATTGTAGTTCAAGGAAAATCACAATGCTCAGTATTGGACGTCAGAATGGTACAGCTAACTGTCTTGAAAGTTTCTTTTCATTAAAGAGTTGAAACCAGGTTTGTGATATCACTAAAGATGTACAATTTACAGGTGCAGAGGACCTTGCAATGGAATGTCTTCCCAAAAGACAGTCTCACAGGCACAGAGACTGGTTTAGAGATTGTTGTGTGAATTAACCTGTGTGTTCTTCTGTTTTCATAGGGCGTATGCCTATGACCTGCCTATACCTATGAGTGATTAGTTGCAATATAGGCCTCACTTAAGGAGCCCATCTTCATCATCACCGCCCACCCCCCCCCCAGACTCAACGGTTTGGTTGAACTAAGTAGTTGGGTTGGTGAAGGGCTGGGGCAGTCTGTGGGCTTCACTTTAGAACTGATTTTCCCTTTTATGTCTTGATGGCTTGAACAGAAAGGGCCCAGATATCTGAAAGGAGGGAAATCTTAGTGTATTCCCCTCAGCCTGAGTGAAATTAGTGAAGCACAAAAGTTTTTAGATAGGTGTAGCATGCCTTGTACACCTTCCACTAGATAAGCCATTCTTTACTGAAGTGTTTGCCTTTGTCAATTAATGGTTATGATTTAATTGTGCTTCCAATTTCTTGCCTAATCTGCTACCTCCAGAATATGACCTGACCAGGATGCCAACGGTCCAGTAATGCCAGTCTTTGGACACCAAGCCTGTGATGTCCAGGTGACAGCCAACTGACCAGGACCCTGTAAGGTCTTTCCCCTTACAGGAAGGACTCCCTCCGTGCTGCACCGCCCCCCCCCCCCTTTCAGGGCACCCCTGACCCAGGGGTAGGTAGGACAGTGTCCATTTCCAGCCAGAAGCAGTTACAAGAAGATGAGACCTTCATCCATTTTCCTTTATATGATTATAAAGTGGGTGTAAATCTGAAAGGAGGAATATTGATACAGGGTGCAGCCGGGGGGGGGGCTGGAAAGGATTTAGGATAGGGTCCGGAGTTCGGAGTGTCCAAGAAATATTGATATGTCTTTAACCCCCCCAGGGGGAAAGGATAAATGGAGCAAGGCCATTGAGAGCTGTTTTGCATAGCAACGGTTTTGCAGCTGACCTCTAGAGTGATTATTTGACATGTCTGTGGCCTTTGGCTAGTTTCGTGGATGTGTTGAATAGTATAACCAGGCTTAAAACTATAGAAATAAAGTCACTTACCCAAGATGTAACTAAGAGCAGAGCCCCTGAAGGGGGAGGCCTATATAAGAGCTTAGAAAAGATTGGCTTCAGGACATAAGGGGATAACTACCCAGGTGAAAGAAGGAACCACACGGTTTAGGGCAGGGTGCAGACCCCTGCAGCTTTAGTAGAAGAAGCCCACACAGCTTTGGGGTGCCCCCTTTGACCGAGTGGCCTAGAAAGCAAGAGAGACTTTGACTAGAACTTGGTACAAAAGAACTCTTGCCAGTAGACCATGAAAGAATGCCACATAACTTTAGATTAACTAGAGATCCTGCCTGATACAACTGACGGTGCCAGCGACCTGAAACACAGATGTGTACTCTTTCCTGATTTACAGTACCTGGAGTTGGGACAGTTTGAGTAAGAAACAAAGACATAAAAGTATTTTGGGTTAAAAAACTTGGTTTCTGACTGCTCTTTTGCAATAATAGAACTGAAATTATAGACGATAGTGTTGTAGACGATCGGCGGGTAAATACACACTCTTGGAGTCCGGAACCGAATTGATAAAAATTTTAATGGCCAAAGATTTTCCTGCACAGGGGCGAACTTCCCCAACTGTGACCGGAGTCACGTAGCTACTCAGAGCTACAAAATGGAAGTCGCGCCTGGCTTACAGACTACTGGGTATTTATATCTTCTAGCAAGCAAGAAAAGGCATACAGAAGCAGAGGTGGCGGTTAGCTATTGGCTTATTTAAAAACGGCGAGGGTCCCTGATTGGTGGGTGCTGCTGCTGGTGGGCACTTTCTGGCGGGCCCAGGTTAGTTACCTTATTTGGCTAGAATTTTAAACCCAATTGTTCCCGGATGTTTGTTCATTACCCTGTTCCAGGAACTGCAGATTTAGGGTTGGGTAATACCCTAGCTGTAATTTTCCTAGATGGGTATAACACTCCCCCCTTTTCTGTGGGGAGGTGGTCAAACCATTGACTCATCTTCTTGGGGTAAGATGGTGTAGGGTTGGGATAGGACCATTAGCTTGACAGCATCTATTCTGTCTTTGATGAACGCAAACACTTTGTTTAATATTATGGGTCCTATTGTTAAAATTAATATTACTGTTAGTAAAGGCCCTAGCAAGGGGAGTAAGAGAGGGAGGAAACCATGTAGGCTTTGGTACACATACCCATTCAGGCTGGCTGACTCCTGTGGAGGTTCTAGAATAGGCTAGGTAAGCTACAGTGGCTCCACAATCCGTGGTCCGTGTATAGGAGGAGGGTATGGCATAGTCAGTAGGAGTTCCTCCTCTACACTCACAGGGTGGTCCAAAAAGGGCTGCGTGGAGGTCCTTGGGGCTAGCTTGGAATCCTCCAAGGGTTAGGGGCAGAGTTACTACAAGCAGGAAAAGTCTTACTGTTTGAGAAATTTCAGTCTTAGCGGTTGCTCGGAATCTTTGCTGATCCGCCATGTTCCTTGGTGGTCCTCCGGGGGCTGGGCTGGCTTCGTGTGTGATAGGTGAATCCAGTAGGGCTTCTCTGCTACTCGTACTGCAGAGAGGGTGCTGAGCAGGACCTGGAAGGGGCCAATCCACCTCGGCTCTAGACTTCCCCGGCGATGGTTAAGGACCCAGATCCATTGTCCCGGTTCAGGTGGAGCTGGCCATCGGGTTGTCTCAGCTGGAGGCTGGTGGCGTAGGACTTGTATCTCCTGTCGCACCTGTTGCAAAGCCTGGAGGGACTTAAGGAAGTTATGATTTGTGCTGGCTATTTCTTCACTGGAAAGTTTGGGGATAATGGGGACAGGTTGTCCAAACATTATCTCATAAGGGGTCCAGGATCCAGTATAAGGGGTGCATCTCACTCTAAAAAGGGCAAAAGGGAGTAGCTCTACCCAGTTGTCGCCAGTCTCCTCTTTTAGTTTTATTATGGTTTCCTTTAGAGTTCTATTCATCCTTTCTACTTGGCCTGAGCTCTGAGGCCTATAAATACAATGGAGCTTCCATTCTATTTTTAACCTAGCAGCTAGCTCTTGAGATACCTTCGAAACGAAAGCTGGGCCGTTGTCTCATCCCATGGCTAATGGAAGTCCGTATCTGGGGATAATTTCTGTCAGTAAGAGTTTGCACACAGTGGAGGCGGTTTCCCCTTTTGTGGGGAAAGCTTCCACCCATCCTGAATAGGTGTCTATTAGTACTAAGAGATACTTATACCCAGATTTTCCTCTTACCATTTCTGTAAAATCTATTTCCCATAGCTCACCTGGGCTTTTTCCTCTATATCTAACTAAGGGGGGGGGGAATTTCTTGTTCTGTGCATTGACCTTAGCACAGATCTGACACCTAGTAGTAACTGAATGAACGATTTCTCTTATCTTTGATCCTGAGTAATATTTTCTTTTTTTTTAATTTTAAATTTTTTTATTGATTATGCTGTTACAGTTGTTCTATTCCCCCCTTCATTCCCCTACACCCTACCCCCCATCCCCACCGTTATCCCCCCTTTAGTTTATGACCATGTGTCTCAATTCCTTTAGATTCTATATTTCCCATGCTATTCTTGCCCCCCATCTATTTTCTATCTACTGTCTATGCTACTTATTTTCTTTACCTTCTCCCCGCTTCTCCTCCTCCCACTCCCCTGTTGCTAACCATCCTTGAGATCTTCATTTCTATGTTTCCACTCCTGATCTAGCTGTCCTTTTAGTTTGCTTTCGTTTTAGGTGTGGTTGTTAACAACTGTGAGTTTGTTGTCCTTTCACTGTTCATGTTTCTTTAACTTCTTTTTCTTAGATAAGTCCCTTTAACATTTCATATAATAAGGGCTTGGTGATGATGAACTCCTTGAATTTGATCTTATCTGAGAAGCACCTTATCTGTCCTTCCATTCTAAATGAAAGTTTTGCTGGATAGAGCAATCTTGGTTGTAGGTCTTTAGATTTCATGACTTGGAATACCTCTTTCCAGCCCCTTCTTGCCTGTAAGGTCTCTTTTGATAAATCAGCTGACAGTCTGATGGGGACTCCTTTGTAGGTGACTGTCCCCTTAGCTCTTGCTGCTTCTAGGATTCTCTCCTTCATTTTAATCTTGGCTAATGTAATTATGATGTGCCTTGGTGTGTTTCTTCTTGGGTCCAACTTCTTTGGGACTCTCTGAGCTTCCTGGATTTCCTGGAAGTCTATTTCCTTTGCCAGATTGGGGAAATTCTCCTTTGTTATTTGTTCAAATAAGTTTTCCACTCGTGGCTGTGCCTTGCCCCCCTTCTGGTACCCCTATAATTCGGATGTTGGAGCGTTTAAAGATGTCCTGGAGGTTCCTAAGACTCTCCTCATTTCTTTGAATTCTTGCTTCTTGACTCTTTTCTGTTTGGCCATTATTTGCTTTCTTCTGGTCCACTCCATTGATTTGAGTCCCAGTTTCCTTTTCATTGCTATTGGTGTCCTGTGCAATTCCATTCATTTCAATTGGTTTCGCCTTCATATGTTTGTCTAATTTGTCGGTATAATCAACCAGTTTTGTGAGGATCCTGATCACCAGTGTTTTAAACTGTGCGTCTGAGAGTTTTGCTATTTCTTCATCGCTTAGATCTATAGGCTCTGGGGCTTTGAGATATTCTTGCGACATTTTTAGTCTGTTCTGGCCCTTTAAGTGTGAGAAGCGGTGCCTTGGCCTCCCAGGTCGCTGGGTTGTTACACTGTATGTGGGGGCGTGGTCAGAGTGGGGAAATGGCGACCCCCTCTGCTGTTTCTCACAGCTGGGTGAGGATTAGCATCTTATGTGGTTCACCTGGCCCGGGCCACTCAGAGTCGCTGGGTTATGACGCTGCATGTGGAGGTGGGGTCAGAGCAGGAAATGGCGTCGCCCTCCACTGCCACTTGCCATGGGGACCCGCCGGCCCGGGTCCAACCGCTCACTCCCTCGCCTGTCCGCCCGTGCACAAATGCACGATCACAGTCAACACGCAGCACCGCTCCCCCGCTGTCTCCCCCGTGGTCGCTCGCCTGGTGGCTCGCTCGGTCGCTCACTAGGTCGAACCCTGCACCTGGATTCCGCGCGTCTGGATTCCTCGCCTGAGTCCGGCTGACCGAGTCCTCCTGTGCAATCCCGCTTCACCAGCCACTGGTTTCGCCCCTTACCGGTCAGGCTGAAGAATTTGTTGTTAATGGACTTCTGAAAAGTTCAATTTTCCGTGTTCTGGCTATGTTTTCTATTGCTAATATTTAGTTGTCTCTAAACTTGGTTGTGTGAGAAGGCAGGGCACATCCACCTATGCCTCCATCTTGGCGGAAGTCCCTGATCCTGAGTAATATTTTCTTATCAATTGTTCTAATCGAGTCTGACCTAAATGGGTGCTAGAATGGAGATCTTGTACTACCGCCCATAGTACCCCTAGAGGTAGATGGATTTTGGAGCCAGGTAATATTATCCATTCAGCAGAGTCCTTAACCCCTCCAGCTTGAAGGCCTGCTTGCTCCTCATCAGGGTGTATCTGGGTTTGGATGGTAGCTCTGGCTTGGGCACTATTGAAAGTACCTTCTTTGTCTTGACGGCAGCTTCCCGCGCTGCCGCATCAGCTAGGTTGTTTCCCCGAATGATGGAGGACTCACCTTTCTGATGCCCTTTGCAGTGGATAATTGCTACCTTGCTAGGTAGCCAAATGGAGTCTAGCAAATCCAGGATCTCTTGTTTATTCTTAATTTCTTTACCTCCAGAAGTGAGGAGGCCCCTCTCCTTGTAGATGGCTCTGTGGACATGCGCAGTGGCGAAGGCATACCGGCTGTCGGTATAGATGTTGACCGTTTTCCCTTTTGCCAGTCTGAGGGCCTCAGTGAGGCCAATTAGCTGTGCTCGCTGAGCTGATGTCCCTGCCAGCAAAGCCTTTTGCCAGACTATTTCTTCCTCGGTGGTTACTGCGGCCCCTGCTAACCTCTCACCATTTAGGACATAGCTGCTTCCATCGGTAAAGAGGACTAAGTCAGGCTTTTCATAGGCCTGGTCACGCAGGTCGGGGCGTGAGCCAGTTTTAGTCTCTAATACCTGAGAACAGTTATGGACAATTGAGGAGTCGGGTACAGATAGCAGGGTCGCCGGGTTTAAGGCAGTCGTCTTTAGGAACTGGACAGCTGGAGGATTCAGCAGTTGGGCCTGATATTGAGTTAGCCTCGCATTAGAGAGCCACCTATCTGGGGGAGCCCGCGAAATTTGTTCTAAATAATGCTCTCCAATAACTTGGATATCTTGCCCTAAAGTCAATTTGGTAGCTTCCTTGACTAGCAAGGAGGTGGCTGCTAGTGCCCGCAGGCACGCCGGCCAGCCGGAGGCTACAGGGTCTAGTTTCCTGGAGAGGTAGGCCACGGGTCTTCTCCAGGGGCCTAATTCTTGACTTAGTACTCCTAGGGCTACCCCCTTCTTCTCAGCTATAAAGAGCTGGAATGGCTTAGTGGGGTCTGGGAGAGCAAGAGCGGGGGCAGTAGTTAAGGCCTCCTTTAAGGCCTGGAAGGCCTGTCTTTCCTTGTTAGTCCAAGTAAACGTCTCCTCGCTCCCTCTCGTTATTTCGTGGAGGGGCCTGGCTAGTTCTGCGAATCCTAGGATCCAGAGCCGACAGTATCCTACTGCCCCTAGGAATTCCCGTGCTTGCCTTTTCGATTTGGGCTCGGGGATCTGGAGGACTGTTTGGATGCGTTGATCAGAGAGAGCCCTCTGATCTTTACGCAAGTCATACCCTAGGTAACTTACGGTTTGTTGAACAATTTGGGCCTTTTTGGCAGAGAGTTGATACCCCATTCCTTCTAGTTCCTGTAGTAGCTCCTTGGTAGCGGCACGGCATTCCTGGTGGTCTGTTGTGGCAATCAGGAGGTCATCTACATACTGCAGGAGCACGATGGTAGGATGGCTGGCACGGAAGGGCTGCAAGTCTCGGCCTAGGGCTTCACTAAAAAGGGTAGGTGAGTTTTTGAACCCTTGTGGTAGACGCGTCCAGGTATACTGGCCTAATAGGCTGTTTTCTGCGTCGTTCCACTCAAAGGCAAACATATCCTGACTCTGCGGGGCTAAGGGAATGCAGAAAAAGGCATCCTTTAAGTCTAGTATGGAGTAAAAAGTGTACATTGGAGGCAACGAACTGAGTAAGGTGTAAGGGTTAGGCACAGTCGGGTGGATAGTTTCTACCTGCGAGTTTACTTCCCTCAGGTCCTGGACAGGGCGGTAATCCTGGGTCCCTGGCTTCTGGACGGGCAGCAAGGGAGTGTTCCACATAGACTGGCATTCTCGCAGGATGCCCGCCGACAGGAGGCGCTTCAGGTGCTGAGCAATACCCTGCTCTGCTTAGTGCGCGCTGGCACCGGGTATTGTCGGACCCGAATGGGGGTAGCTGTGGCCTTCAGCTGGACTACTACTGGTGGCTGATGAACAGCTAGTCCCGGGGGATTAGTCTCCGCCCAGACCCCCGGAACCTCAGCTAGTAAGTCCTCAGGGACCCCACCCTCTGCCTTACCTTCCTGGAGGGCGGCAAGTAGGTATTCTTCTGACAAGGGCACAGTGACTTCTAGCCTCAATCCTTCTTGAGAGGCCTCATTACTCTCCTGCTCCGAATCTCGCCTAAAGGTGATGGTGGCCTGTAGCTTCTGCAACAAGTCTCTCCCGAGCAGCGGATACGGACAGTCTGGAATTACTAGGAATGAGTGTGTGATGGTGCCCAACCCTAAATCGGTTACTCGAGCTGTGGTCCAAGGGTATGCCTCCTCCTTGCCTGTTGCCCCTACAGTTTTTGTAGTTGCCTTCTGGAGTTGTCCTTTGGGTTGCTTTAAAACTGAAAAGGTGGCTCCCGTGTCTATTAGGAAATTGACAGGTTTCCCTTCGACCTGTAGGGTGACCATTGCCTCCTGGGAGCCAACTGGGATGGAGCCCCGGCCCCGTCAGTCTAGAGTCTGGAGAAGGACAGGAGCCCCCGTCCTTTGCTGAGCTACCTTGGCTTGCAACTCTGGGCACTCACGCTTCCAATGTCCATTCTTCTTGCAGAAAGCACACTGGTTCTTGCCTATTGGCGCCCGTCGCTGTCCTAGTCCTGACTCCGTTTTCCCTCCACCCTTCGGGGCTGGGTTCTGGGCGGCAATTAAGATCTTGGCTACTTCCTTTGCCCTACCAATCTCAGGATCATCCCTATTGATGAAAACCTTTTGTGCTATCTCTAATAATTTGCTAATATTCTCCCCTTCGAATCCTTCTATTTTCTGTAACTTCTTCCTAATATCTGAAGCTGCCTGAGTTACAAAGGTTATATTGAGTAGTCTCCTGTTCTCGGGTGCCTGAGGGTCTAGTGGGGTATAACCGGTAGGCTTCAATAAGCCTCTCTAGGAAGGCGGCTGGTGATTCCTCCCTACCTTGGATTACTTCACTAACTTTACTAAAATTAGTAGGCTTCTTAGCTGCTGCCTTGAGCCCCCGTAGTAGAGCCCAGCGATACTGGAGTAGCGCCTCCCTTCCCCCGCTCGAATTAGGATCCCAATCTGGGGGTTGACTGGGAAGGACATCCTCTACCTCCCTCCTCCCTTCTGCGGTACCCCTCTCTTCTCCCGCCACAGCCTTGGCTGCTTCTCTCATAATTCGGTCCCTTTCCTCAGAGGTGAAAAGGGTCTGGAGTATCTGCTGGCAGTCATCCCAGGTTGGCTGGTGGGTCCTGAAAATGGTTTCTGAAAGGAAAATGAGGCCTTGGGGTTTTTCATAAAAAGGAGGATTCTGGAGTTTCCAATTATACAGGTCACTGGTTGAAAAAGGAACATAGACTAGTCGAGGTGGTGCCTGTGCTGGTGCATCTGGGCCAGGCGGCACCTCACGGAGAGGCAGAATGGCAGCGCCTCCCTGCTGAGGCAACCCATATGGTGTCCCGCCCCTGGTATGGGGCGGGCTCCTGAGGTCACCTCCCGTGGTGGAATCTGGTTGCGGAGGATTGTAGGGTGGCGCCGCAGTAGGCTCGATCAGGGGGTCCTCCGGGGCTTCAGAGAGAACTGGGTATAAACGAGGCTTTTCCTTAGCTGAACCCGGGACCAGGGCTCCCTGTGAACCTGGGACCAGGGTTCCGTGTCCCCTCGGGGGCAGGCTCTACTACCCCCCCTCGCCGCAACACAGACACTGCGCTGCATCCTCCTCCAGTCAGGCTGGCATGGCCGGATGTAACCTGGACGCTCGGTGGCTATGTCCACCCAAACGTCGATGTATACCATCTGGTCCGGATGAGGTACCTGGTATACTACTCTCTGTACTGCATATAAGATGGGAAGATCGAAGGTCCCCTCAGTGGGCCACCCTACGTTGAAGGTGGGCCATTCTAGTTCACTGAAGGTTCGCAGTACCTCAGGGTCGGGCGGTGGGCCCCCATAACCCCGGGCGCGCTTCTGAAAATCAGAAAAATTATTTAGGAGGCATTCAAGCGCGGTCTTGGGCGTAGACCCTCCCTGTCCCATCTTTGAATTGTGGTGGGAGACCTCGGTGATCTCCCAGAGTCCTAGGGCTACTAAAAGAGTTGTTAAGCCTAGAGGGAACACATATAATTTTAGACACAATTTCTGGACAAACAACAAAAGGCGCCCACACAGACACAAGTCCTTTCACGCAACCACAATATCGCTGCGCTGCGCAGCGCGAAAACCGAAACCAATTGCGACCCAGTCACAGGAGCCTAGCTCCGATTCCCGAGAGCGTCCTCTCCTTGGGAATCCCCCGGGGGGACTGCCGGTAGCGTCCCACCTACCCCCTCGGAGCTCAAGAGGTCTAGACCGTTTCCAAGATCGGGGTACCCCAGTTCTGCCGAAACTTACCGGCCCGGCGGTTGATGGTCTTCTGAGTGTATGTAGATCTCGGACGAGCCCCCAAATGTTGTAGACGATCAGTGGGTAACCGAATTGATAAAAATTTTAATGGCCAAAGATTTTCCTGCACAGGGGCGAACTTCCCCAACTGTGACCGGAGTCACGTAGCTACTCAGAGCTACAAAATGGAAGTCGCGCCTGGCTTACAGACTACTGGGTATTTATATTTTCTAGCAAGCAAGCAAAGGCATACAGAAGCAGAGGTGGCGGTTAGCTATTGGCTTATTTAAAAACGGCGAGGGTCCCTGATTGGTGGGTGCTGCTGCTGGTGGGCACTTTCTGGCGGGCCCAGGTTAGTTACCTTATTTGGCTAGAATTTTAAACCCAATTGTTCCCGGATGTTTGTTCATTACCCTGTTCCAGGAACTGCAGATTTAGGGTTGGGTAATGCCCTAGCTGTAATTTTCCTAGCTGGTTATAAAAGATAGCAAAGAAAATACCTGGTCTTTACACCATCTGTATTCTTTTTTTTTTTTAATTTTTTATTTATTTATCTTTAGAGGGGAAGGGAAGGAGAGAGGGAGAGAAACATCAATGTATGGTTGCCTTTTGTGCGTCCCCTGCTGGGAACTGGCCTGCAGGGAACCGGCCTGCAACCCCGGTCTGTGCCCTGACTGGGATTCGAACCGCGATTGTCTGGTTCGCAGGCCAGCGCTCAATCCCCATCTGTATTCTTTTTGTTCTAAATCTTTGTTTGCTTTATTAAAACTATATAAACAATTCTACAAAGAAATATATAATAGTCCAAAAGGAGAAAAAGGCCTCAGAACCCCTCCTTGAGTAGATCACAGGAGGAGAAAAATGATGAGGAAAGAAACCTCATTAATGCTCTGAATCCAAGAAAAGGGGGGACTTGTTTATTCCTACAAGAAGAATATTGTTATGCTAAAACAAGTACTAGTGTTGTTTAGCATAAAAGGGGGGAAAGGATGTGGGAAGCTCTGGAAAACCTTTGTTCACCCAAAACCCCAGGCCCCCTGGGAGAGAGATAAGGCCATCTGGGAAAAGCAAACAGCAGGATAGTCACAAGGACTGGGGCTAGCACCCCCTCTGATAGAACTAATTTTCACATTTAGCCTTTGTACTCTGCTTCTGCCTGGTAGATAGAACTAATTACCTCATTCCACTTCTGTATCCTGCTTTGCTACATAGACAGGAAACTCCATAGGCTATATAAACCCCAAGAATCCTTTCAGGGCTTAGAATTTGGATACTGAGTCCTATGGGCCTGTGCACGTTAATAAACCTCGTACTCCAGAATCCCTCAGTGTCTGGTTGCTTCGTTTTCCTATAACAACATGACTGCAGGGGTCCTCACTCTGCCCCAAACCACGTGGCCCTCTCCTCACCTGGGCAGTTATCCCCTCATGTTCCAGAGCCAATCTTTTCCAAGCTCTCACACAGGCGCTCCCACTCAGGAGCACAGCCCCTAGTTACATCTTGGGCAGAAGCCACTCCCTTCTCCCTGGCTCTAAACTTGACCACAGCTATTTAACATATCTATGAAACCAGTTAAAGGTTATAGATATGTTAAATAATCATTCCAGAGGTTAGCTGCAAAACTGTTGCTATGCAAAATAGCTCTCAGTGGCCCTGGCTCTATTTGTCTCTTCCCCCTGGGGGGGAGGTGGTGAGGACATCCTATATGTCTCTCCAATATTCCTATACACTTTCAATTCTGAACACCATTCCAAATCTTTTTTGGGGTCCCCCCTTGGCTGCACCCTGTATCATGGGGACTCAGGCTTTGTCAAAGCTGGGGGGCAAGAGTCCATTGCTCCTTATTACAGCCCCCCCCCCCAGTCCTTCCATGAAGACCTCCCAAGTGATCAAGTCTGGCTTAGGTTGCCCCCCCGCTGTGAGGGGTCTTACCCATCATTGACTTCCAACCAAGCTTTGGGGACAGGGAGAGGAACTGAGGCAGCATTTGCTACCAGAGACAAGCTTTGTCTCCTGTGGCTCGCATTCCAAAGGTCGTCTCTCGTCCTTAGCCACAAGGGGTAGAGATACAATTCCTAAAACCAGGCTGAGTGGTCTACTACAATCAGGGACACATCTTTGTGTTCATTGTACTTAGCCTTTGCTCTTGTTTCTGCTTAAATGTCTTTCATATGTTACTACCTGGTCTATTCAGTCATTTAAGACACAGAAGTCACTTGTTTTGACTCTGTCTGTACCTTACATACAAAGAATCACTCCTCTTCTGTGTTACTTTTTGATTTGCCTCAATTGTTGTCCTTACTTCTCAGAGTCGTTATTTATATGCTTGTGTCTGTCTTCCCTGGCAGATGGCTAAACTATTCCATATGCTATAGTGTGTATCCTGCATCCAGAAAATATTTATTGGCACCAATGATGAACTAGACAGTACACCAGGCATTGGGACACTACTGTGAATAAGGCCACCACATCCCAGACCACTTTGACTTTAGAATTAGGTGATGGGTACAGACAATTTAGTTATGCAGCTATAGCATTAGCAGAGTGTCTTAGCTTGAGTTTCCACAGAAGCAGACCCCAAGACAAGGATTTGGGTATAGTAAGCTTATTTGATGATCCCAGAAAATCCTGGCAAGTGAATAAGGGGGTAAGACAAGGAAGGGAAGGCGGCCAGCACATGGTGGGTTATCAAACAAGTTCTCACTGTAGACAGTCAGGGCACGGTTCTTCTGGGGGAATCTCTGACAGTCCTTGTAGAGCATGTCTTTTCAGAGTAATTCTGCCTGAAAGGCAGTAAGCTGGGGTATTTTTTTACTATGCCATCAGTCATTGGTGGAGAGCTACTGTGTGTGTGTGTGTGGGAGTGGAGGTGATTGTTTTTGCTCCAACACTTCCATCTGGAATGCACTGGCTCTGGCCAAAAGCTAGACTTAAGACTGTTAGATATCAGGCACAGGGAAGGCCCAATATTTATGGGTGGACCTCCTACCACTAATGCTACTATTGGGAGAAGCAGAACAGAATGAATCATAATTTCCAGGCATAATTTGTTCTCACCCAGATTTATGGGGAGGAATGAAATGTGAATAAATAAAAGGGGTGGGTTCCAGGAGAAGAAGTACCATGTGTAAAAGCACAGAGGCAAGAAAGAGCTGGGTGTGTAAGGGAATAGAATGAATTCAAGCATTTGCAAACCTGTTCTCAGGAGGTTCTGTGGATGGGGTTGAGAGAGAGCTGGAAATACACCCTGGAAGGCTCTGAGAGCCATGACATACGTTGGGAGCAAGACCCTTCTGACTATCAGGAGTTCTTGAGTAATGTAGATGAATGCCTGTGTGTCAAAGGATCTCAAACAATTTTTTGATGTCATGGGATCTATTGCATCACTAGATTCAAAATGAACATTTTGAATAGGGCTCAGAAAACAAAAGTTCCCCCTTACTATGGGCAATGCCTGCTGGAATTATTGCAGGAAAACCCACTAACCTGAGATTCTTCCCTTAACTCAAAAAGTGAAAGTCAGACCTGAGAGGGCCCCTCCCAGCTCTTTGGGAATGCTGAAACATGTGGGCATTCTCCCTCATAATGAAGTTCATGGGAAGAGCTTCGTGTCAACACTTCATGGATACCACATACCAAAGACAAATGTTTTAAAACAAAGAAAAGGACATGTGGAATGGGAAAGTGTCTACAACATTGCTGAATACTGCAAGGCAATGGGAACTGGGCCAACTTTTACCCTTAAATCCTTACTACATAAATTGGAATTTGAAAACTATTCCCAAGAAACAACCAGCCTAACCCTTAATGAATTTAGACTCTAACTCAGGATCAGTGGTAAAAGATATTTATAGTACTTAGAAAAAATGGTCAGCTTGTACGTACTCAAGAAATATATTGAAGTGAATGGGCATGGTGGTTATGATTTCTTAATGAAAACTGATCAAGTTGCCCTCTTTCATATTTCTTGCTCAAGGTCCCATCTTGAATCCATATTTGCACTGTGTAAGCTATCTGCTTTGAAAGCAGGCCAGGCAGTGTGGCATAGGGAGAAATGCCAACCCTGGAATTAGTCAGAAAACCTGGTTTTGAGGTCTGACTTGGTTTCTTAGGCCTCAGAAGCTTATTTAATTGTAGGCAAGTCATTTAGCCTATGTAAGACCCAGTTTTTATATCTCTAAAATGGGTACAAATCAATGTTTCCTTTGAATGACTGATATATATCTGACCTTGCACCTGTATATATCTGACAGAATGTCCAAAAGGGGGAAGTGTGGGGCAGAAGAAGCCTCATGGACTGTGGAATATGATAGACCTACCTTAAAACCTCTCTTGCCACCTGGCATTTGGGCAAGTTGCTGATATTCTCCCAGGTGCAGTTTAATTATTTACTTTTAAAATCTACCTTTGAAGTCTTTTTGAGGATCATATAAAATCATATATGCAAAGCACAAATCAAGTTCTCAGAAATGGTAGCTCCATGAATCTCTTTTAGGTAAATAAAGATGCAGGTGCTCAATAAATACAGTAACTGTCCAGACTCTCATTGATGTCTAGACTCTCATTGATGAGTCAATCTTAGCTGCAAACAACAATGTGCCCTCTAGTGAGTTTGAGTGGAAGGGGGTTCAGTAAAGGGAATTTGGATGTTCACA